TAGGTTTTATAAAATAGTTTTCATAGACATAGAAAATATTGTTTAGGGCAAGTTATTTATTTTTCATTGGCTTAAGTTAAAAAATATAGATGTACATTTTTTTAATTGGATGAATGAAAAAAAAATTTCAGTGTATAATGCACCCTAGTCTCACCCTTCTCATTAAACACAACAAAGAAAAGAATCAGACAGCTGATCCTTGAAAGCAATCACAGTAGCGTGGGCCATTACAACGAGCACATTGTGATTAAGAGTGATTTCCAGCAAAGAAAATGTTCAACAGCAAAACCTTATCCTGCTTAGTAAAGTCACTTGATCAGCATGAACCTACAGCATAAATACTGCACTATAACGCACATAAAAGATTAAGAGGAGCATAAGAGACTGAAAATAGATCTACAACCTCTCATGGAACAAATCTGAACTGAACCACCCTTTATTGTTTCTCAATCTCATCTTTCAGCCTAGCAAACCTAATCCACTTACGTTAATGCAAAATTGTCCTTTCTGTTGAGAGCAACAAAATAAAGAGTTTTCAGTCAGATGACTCAGCAGGTTTCTCATTCTTTCCAAGCCACTCAGTGTTGTTCTATGCGTTATTCCCCATGACTTGTTCCATAAGGACAAGGAGCTGCTTAAATAAAACACACATAATGACAAAGAGATGTATTACTCATGGCGGCCATGTTAAATGACTCAGCTCTTCACAAAACAACTATGCTATATAATTCACACAAAATGACATCCATAATGACAATGATTATTAATTTTGTGATTTTCAATGAATTCATGAGTTTTAGTGATAATTTGCAACTGTGTGATTAAACTGTGGCTTTGTAATGTGACAGGACAATATTCAACGAAGAATTTAACAGTATTATTGAGATTATGATCAAATAAATCATTTCAGACAGTGTTTTAGGATTAGTGAGTAAACCATATTTTTTTCAAACAATAGTAATTTCTCTTCTTTCCCAGTTTGTTTCATGTGGAAACTCCAGACAGGCCAAACCTAATATGCAAACAGTCCATTTGAATGTCACCCTTGACTAAACAGAAGAACAGATGCTACGCTGATGTAGTTATTGTATCACAGAGAGCCTAAATAAACATTACTACACATCCACAACTACAAAACCCAATAGAAACAGATTTTTTTTTTTTAACAAACACACATACACAGAGAGTCACATAAAGCTGCTTCGATTAGCTGCTATCCTGCTAACTCTCACTTTGACACTTTAAGCACCTTGCTTAAAACCTTAGAGAGCTTTCTGTCACTTTTATGGTCTCAACACACAAATCCAGGTCTACATCTGTTTTAAAGCATCGGAATAAAATAAAACATTAATATACAACAAAATAAGCATTTCTAATACTTTAGATTGTGATAGCAATGACTATGTTCAGAGGTACTGTGACTTCCTGTTTATGTTGCCTTTGGCTCCATCAATTACATTTGAATGTATCTCCAACCATGATGTCACACCAGCAAATACCGACAGTAAATTCAAACAAGCTGAATCATCACAGGTTCGTTTCGGTTTTATACGGGAACTCTGTAATTAGTCTAATGCCAGTTAATGTCAATAAGAATTAAGTGAAGTTCTCAGTTATCAGAGTATTATATTGTGAATATAATCATAAAATGGCATCCGGCCTTTAGAAGATCTTTAGAATGATGTTTGTACATAGAGATGTAGTCTTGTTCATTCTGAGAGGTGTGTGTGCTGCAGATGTACTGCAGAGAGACGCATGTGTTTACACAGCTGAACACATCAGCAAAAATATATACAAACACAAAAATATATACACAATATGAGGGTCAGAAAGACAGAACATGAACAAGGATGATCTTACACTCCAGGCACCCAAAACAATCAAAAAGTCTTTGAAAAATATGTATCAGCCTCACAGGAAGGCCACACACTGATACACAGAAGAGAGCTGATATTGTCTACAATACAACATGAGCAATGAGTTTCTGGGTGGCAAAACTGCTGTCATAACAGCCACTACCAAAAATTTGAATGAATTTTCAGCATCATTACTCCAGTCTTCAGTGTCACATGATCCTTCAGAAGTTATTCTAATATGCTAATTTGGTTAATAACTCTTATTACATCTAACCTTCAAAATTAAAGTCTCAAAATGAATATCCATTTTTCACACTGTACATCGTAATGCTGTGATGTACAGTATGTACGAAGTCGAAATTTCGACTTTAAAAACGACAGTTTTTTGTTGTAAAGTTTTATTTTTAAATCAAAACAGTACAGAATTTTAATATCAGCCATCTATGAGTTATAGGCCATAGCATGAAAATAATTATCAGCTTAGCAGGTACGAATTTTAATATCCGTGCATCCCATATCAATGACGTAAGTGTACAGTAATACATGCAGAACTCAACAACTAAAAGTTACCACCGAACAGCTGTCTGGCGCTGAGGACAGACATTTATCTGCCTGGATACTAGGGCTGCACGATTAATCGAATGCGATTGTCTGGGTTTCTTCTGCGAGGCGTATTTGGAGTTTCAGCGCGAGAGCGCCCTCTGGCCTTTGGATGGAGATTTACTGCTGATCACAGAACCGTGCTTCACTGAAAGATACACATGACAATCGCAGCTTCTGTCAAATCGCGATCTCGATTCCATTTCGATTTATCGTGCAGCCCTACTGGATACTTCACATTATACCACATTAGACTCACTGTAACGAAATACAGGAATCTAGCTCATGGACCAGATCTCCCTGACAGGCCTCAGGATGATCACCTAACAGCCACTGCTGTTAATAAACACCCCTCAGAGATATTTGACGCTAAACCAGTCATGAGGACAAAGCAGCTACAGGAAGAATTTTATCAGGTTATAGTTTGATCGAGGCATTCAAATGGTGAACAGACACACATACACATGCCTGACAGCTGCTGGAACATTCAACACCCATGTAAACCAAACCAATAAACAAGAGATCCTTGCACCTGTCAAGGACACACACAAAGTCTGTCAACACAAGTGCTAAGTGAGGACTTTTAATTTTGGGGGGTGTGTTGATGCTTTGGCTTAACACCGTCTCGTCTGCATCTCTGACAGTTCATGGCCATTAACATCAGCACTGACTGACAGCTATGCAATCTTCATAAACAGAAAGAATAACAAGTGTAGTGGGTGGTGTGTCCTCACCCTGGTGCCAAATGACAAGATGACAGATAAATGTTCTTTACTAACATGATTCAGTCTTGATCCAAATGTATACATTAAGCCATAATCACTGTATTCTTTCTAGATATAGTGTATAAGAATCCAACCTTGTGCTAGCATGCATTGAAATATACAGTAAAGAACTAATAAAGGCTTAACCTAAGAGGTATGTATTTAAAAAGGGTGATGATACTTTTGAATGCATTACTATAATCTCTGGTTATTTCCAGGGCTGGTTACTGAAAGACAAGACCAAAGCGGAAGTTATTAAGTCAGACATCAAAGTCTATCTAGGCCTCCCCCGCAGTACTTTTTCCCTTGATGGCCTTTGTATTTCATCACATGGACCAGATATACACAGGTGACAGGGTCACATGTGTTCGTTGGAATCAATTATGAGCATTTAGCATTCTACAAATGACACGCTTCTAGAAAATGAAAGCAAAATGTACAAATTTGTCTTTCAAGAAGTGAAGATGCTCTAAAACCTAGGATCCACCATAAATTTTCCCTTAAAATATCAGATCCATTCCAGACAGTTGCATTAAATGCACTGTTCAGTTAACATGAATGCACACGCATTTGTGATGTACTACATAACTCAGTGCATTTTTGAATTACGTAAGTTGCTCTAAATACACATATTTGATATGGTCCAATGAATAACTACATGTAAAAATCCATTAAGTCACACTATCCTAAAGGCTGTGTTGCGTAAAATATGTTATCTCTGTTCTGTCTGCTGCTTGGTGTCCATCCAAGAAAAAGCAGTTGTAGTTTAGGGGGCAAAGGTCATCTCTGTTCTCAAAATAGCAGTGCAGTTCAACGTTAACATGAACAACATCTGAACTGAGCTGAGTGAATTTGGAAAACCATACAAACTGAGGTTGTTCAATCACATAAACGTTATGGACATTTCACATTTATGTACAAAGACATGCATAGTACAATTTCAACCACACCACGTGCAAAGAAATAAGCATAACAACAGCAGACATGACCCTTTAGTTCTTACATTCTGCATTTAAAACCTAGTATTTGAACAAAAATATTCCAACCAGTCAGATCTATCTGTAAATACAGTTTTATGTGAGAGCTGGGAACCAAGAGCTGCTTCTTATATTTAAAAAAATAATAATATTGGATGTCTTCCGGTTCCATTAGCATGCTTTCTTTCGCAGATGTAGCCAGAACACCATCCTAAACTATGTTGATGTTTCCTAATACTGCTATTCTATAAAAACAGATAATCAGTTTGGCAATACCTTGTGCCGATATCCACACTTTTTATTTAACTGATCATTTTGTGTTTTTTTTGTTGTAGTATAATGAATTGTACTGATAGTATGGTTTGTATAATAATTTGGGTAATTAAATTTTGTTCTTTTAGCAAATCAAAAACATGATAAATATACTCTGATTTCTGAACAAACACCATAAGCAAAGCAAAAACATCAAAGTTCCACTTTTTAGACACAATAAGTCAATCAGTCAGAACTCAGAGGAATCACTGACTCGCTCACTGATCAATGGGCATTTTAAATTAATGAATCAAACGTTTAATTAACACTTACTTAATATGGTCTGCTAAATTTGGTTACTGCTGACAGCAGTAAATGCTATACGAATTGCATTTTTTCCCAGATAGTTCTTCCTCAAAAGTCCTAAATGAATCGTTAATGAACCGATAAAGACTATGAAACGGAATCAGAATCGATCCCCTTACGGGAATACCATCTCTGTACGTGGACACAAAAACATTAGATTAGCGTTAACGTTATATGTGACTCACCTGTACGAAGAAAATCAGCCGCGTCTATCCATGATGTCGATGTCAATGTCAAAGCTCAAGAGTTCACGGTCAACTTCAAACTCTTATTTAAAACAGCTCACGCCTTGATTACTATGCCGACTCATTCTATACACTAGGCCTACATCATATATTACACACTGAAACAGTTAAGTTAAACTGTTAGAAAGCAACTCCGTTGATAAAATAATCCAGAGAAATTAGAAAAACCTTCCACTTAACCAGCGCGAATTTTCCAGAGCATTGACTAAAACAGTTTAATAACAACACAAAGAAATGAACGCGTTGGTAAACAGTGTGAAAACAGATACTCGTATATTCCTTTTTTAGGGTCGATATCCAGCATTATAAATATCCTTTCGCAAAATTTAAAGCGCTAAAGCTGCGGAACAGCAGTGATGCTGTACTGAAGTGAGACTCCATCATGATGTTTGTGATGTTCTGGTCTCTTTCCAGCATCCTCTTCATCCGCACCTTGCTCACAGCGTTTCACTTGAGCTTCTACATAAACGCCTACGATATCAAAGTGCTAAAACAGGTAGTTTGTTAGCTCATAACGCTAAAGCAGGCGGGTGGTCTTCCTCTGCTTTGAGCTGATGTGTTGGATAAGCGTGCGTTCAGCGTTTGGCCCACCGCTCAACCCCACAGAGCGCGAGCTGCTACTCGTACTCTCACGCGCGCTGCAAGTGTGACTCTGACGTAAGACGTTCTTCACAGTGCACGAGCTCCGGGCTGGCTCTGTGGCCGGGAGCGAGCGCGAGTATTGAATGGCGATGTTAACGTGATATGGGCACGTTTTTGTGTACTAATTATATAGAATATTATACACATTATGCAGTTTATATTTATTATCTGAATGATCTTGTACACGTAATTACAAATATGTGTTATATATTTTTTGGCTAGTCTATAGCTTGTGGTGTAAAACGTAGGATCCAGGGGCCCACCATATTTATATACAAGTAGCCCAGTCAGGGTTCCTACTTATTTATGAACAATTGCCTATTTGTTTTTTTGTTGTTTTTTTCCATAGGCCTACCATATTGTGTCATTGGATAAGTAGATAGATAGGCTAGATAAAATTCCCAGGGCCTGAGACAACATGTATAAGGGAGGGTGGGTCCCCTTGTTCCCAATATTAAACTATGGGGCCAGGGACAATTTCCCAGCCTGAATCCTGTTTCTTTAACTCACTCAGGGGCAGTGTTATTTTAGCATCATTGAGAAAGGCCTATATTTATCATATATTTATTTATTGTTTTTTTACATTTTAAATTAGTTTTTATTTTTGTATTTCCTTTTTTAGTTAAAATTTTAGTAATTTTGTTTTTGTAATTTTTTTTATACATCTATATGATTTTATTACTATTTCAGTTTTAGTGCAACGAGTTAAACTAAATTTAATGTTATTGCTTTGGCAACCAGCTAAAATAAGTTACAATTTTTAATACTTTATTTGGTGACGTATGCTGGACTTCTCCAATCATTTCATCCACATAAAATCAGCCCCTTTATTACAATCAGCTGCAAACTCACATTCAGATCTGCTTCCATCCTATCAACAACTGATAGCTAGAACCAAGTGTTTTACATTTTATTCTTTTTCGATTATCCGTTTCACTTGGATATATGTCACTATTTGAAAGAAAAGATCTGCTGGTACTTCTGTTACATCACCACTTTAATACTTTATATCTGCTGTCTGCTGCTTCGTGTTGTCTGCCATGTAGGCTACTAGTTGTATGTTGTATGGCTGTGGTGTCTGGTGATTTGTGAATGCCACTAAGGATTAGCATGTTTAAGAATTCCATTGTACTTGTGCATATTGCAACAATGTACTCTGCTCTCCACTAGGCTACACACACAGTTCAGTAGATGTGTTTCTTCCTCCTTGATAGACTGGGAAGAACTCTCAGCTCCAGATATTAAAATTGTATCTGCTCAAAATCCTTAGAGATTTCAGCATTTCAAACAGCCAGATTGTGAAAGTATAAAAGAGAGATGCTGTCAACTTGTTTAGCAAAAGAAATGTAGCACTATTTATGTTGCCAAAAATCTATCCTGGAGATTCAATGGGTTTTATCAGATTTATAAAAGACAGATACAGCTGTACCGCTTCTTTCCAAAAACAGCCAATCGTGTGGAGCACTTTTTTTGATGGATTGGCACAGTTTATTGGACTTCTACTGGACTATTGAATATCAACCATTCATTGCCATTACAAAGCTTGGAAGAGCCTGGACATTTTTAAATATAACTCTGATTGTATTCGTCTGAAAGAAGCAAGTCATATACACCTATGGCTTGAGGATGAGTAAATCATGGTGTAATTTTCATTTTTGGGTGAACTATCCTTTTAACGCTGGGTTCTTTGGGAAGCTGAACAAGGTTATCCTTCCATTTGGTGACATTGTTGATTTCGTGGTCAACAATGATCGTGGTTGATTTCCGGTGTCCTGACATTTTATCCTACCTGTCAGATTGTCCTACCAGGGTTTACTGTGCGTGCGCACATCAATATTGCGTCCTTTTTCTCATGCTGAACAACAATATTTAATGTATCTGCATTACTGTAAGGGTAGGTTTAAGGTTGTGGTAGATGTAGACGTTAATAAATAAAGAGAAGTGCCCATACAAGGAATTCCGTCCTTTATGACATCATACAGGGCCATAATCTAAAAAAAACTTTCCGAAACTTATACGAACCATGAATGAGTGTATTTGGCACAGAAATACTCCGTCATACGTCCAACTCGTTTTTTTTTTTTACTTTGGCCATGTTTAGCATGAGAATCAAACTCTTTAACTAACTCAGAATGCATGAAATAGCATGAAGCCGCCTTTCCATTATCTAGGACAAGCGACAAACGACAGACCGGAAGTCATTCATTTCCAATGGAGAGTAGTGCGGGTGCTGCGTTGAGTTCCGATCATATGCGTATGCGGAAAATTCGGATCCGATTTGAGCTTCGGATGCATTCAAATATTTGAAATTCTAATTATTAAATCATTATGTACGTTGATTGGCCCCATAAAACTACTTAGATTTTATTTGAGGGGGTCATTTGTTTTGTGTGGATCATACATTCATTGATTGCATTCATTAAAAGCATAGGCTACATTTTGCCATGGTGATAAGCCGGGTTGCTTCTCGACCAGTTTGAAAGTTCTGTGCGACTGCCGCTACGGGGAGAAATAGAACAATCGTATCCAAATGTCGGAGACAGGTCCCTTTAGCTAAATATATATCTTGACTTGAACCCTTTCCTTCCCTTTCCACTTTATATAGGCGTTATGAAATTTCTGGATCTTGCTATTCACAGCATAAACTGATTCAAATCATTATTTGCAAAAAAATTACCAGAATATAAAAATATTACTCATCTCTCTGAGGAAAAAAATCATCCAAAAATTGTAGCTTGAACTGAATTGAGGTGAATAATGACACTATTGTCTTCTGTAGAGCTGCTTTACGACTGAACATTACATTGTTTCATAATAGATGAACTTGGCAACATCAACACTGATAAAACTAAACTTATTTAACATTGAAATGACTTGAGCTGAATAATGACACTATTATCTTCTGTTTCTGTAGAGCTTTTTTACAAGTGAAATTGAAGTTGTTTCATAAAAAATGAACTTTGCAACACTGTTATTTTCCTGTTTATTGCTGTGAAGCTAATGTAAAACAGTCAGAATCTGAAATTAATATTGTATAAAGTGCTATATAAATAAATGTAACTTGATTTGACATCTCAATGCACTGACTTAATCCAGTGAACACCAGATGGCGCCGTCAAACAATTGTTTAGTGCTGGGGCTCTAATGCCGTGCTTCTAAATACCACTGCTGACTCTGAGGGCCCCATCACTCCACATTTGTCTGTGTCTGTGTGTGTATGCATAATGGGAGCATTTGTCTCCTTTTTATGCTAAATTAATAACATATGAACCAACATGTGGGAGAGATCTCCCACCAATGTGACAAAAACAAAAGCGATGAATGGCAAACAAACTGTCCTGACAAAATGATTCATGTTGAGGTCAAAGGGCACAGAGGTCAGATACTTAAGGCTGCAGGACACCACAGAGGACACTGATTATTTATGTATTTGCCTGTGACTATAATCAAAAGTCTTTAAAATAGACACATCGGCACCTGCAAAAGCTTTACTCACAGAAAAACAACTCAAACATACTCATACAAATGAAGTTTTCTGTCACTCAGTTTGCTTGAGTGTGAAGATTTGTGGATTATTATGACATTACATACTCAACAGTTTGAAAAAAAAGTTTTGTTTTTTGTTTTAGACTCATGCCATCCGGCCCAGTGCCCTCGATTTCATCTGTTTATGTGCGTGTGTGTGAGAAAGAGAAAAAGATAAAGAGAGAGTGGAAGAGCTCTGGTTCTCATTGAGTTTGGCATTACTTTACAGACAAAAAGATTTACAGGCCACAGAAACAGATGGAGGAACGCAGTACAAAGTAGGAGGAGAGAAAAGAGAGAGTTCAGGTTTGCACTGTCTTTAGATGTTTTTCACAGTCCACGTGTAAGTGGAGGTGAGTGAGAGTGTGTGTGTGTGTGTGTGTGTGTGTGTGTGTGTGTGTGTGTGTGTGTGTGTGTGTGTGTATCCATGCTGTTAATGGATTTGCTAATTAAGGACTTCTCAGGTGAAGCCAGAAAAAGCAGGAGAGGAAATGGAGGAGTGGAGTGCCAGGTAAGAGGAGACGGTATAAATAGATTTATCAAATGAAGAGAGAAGATGGGGGGAAACAAGACAAACCTGAAGGAGGGGCAGAGGGAAAAGAAAGGTATGTGGCTGCCTGATAGTGTGAGAGGGAATATGGAGAGAGAAAGAGTAGAAGAAGGCAAAGTGATTAAATAGCACAGAAAGAGAGATCATAAGAGCGGAGAGACTCTGGTAAGAATTTTTACACCAATTAAAAGAAATGGCAAAGGAATGAAAGGGTGATTCTGTCAGGACGACTGCTCTGTTAAAGTAACTCTATCTGCTCTGAGCCGTAACCTACAGTAATGACTTCCCAGTGATGGGGCCGCTCCATTCTACACACACACACACACACACACTTCTAATGAGCACTCCGGGGCTTATACACAATACTGAAACTACTGTGAGTAATTTAAAGAGGAGAGCGATCAGACAGAATCAGCTTTGATTAAGATTTGTGCTTTGTCTTTTATCTTCACATTTATAAGTATGATCTCTTATGCTTTCTATTACGATTTTTTTTACGTATCATGTTGATATGATAGTGTAGTTCTTTGCGTGGACGTTGTTTTTTCTGTATGTCTTGTGTGCAGTGTTCATTAGTTCTGTGCTTTCTTAATGAAATGAAAAAGAACAGCTCTCACGATATCCTCAAGAAGATTCAAATCTTTGGGAGATAATGATTAAATGTTAAACACAATCCCGTTCCCTTATACTCATTCTGGAAAGTTTTCGTTTGGAGAAACAAACTTTTTATACATCTGAGTGCATTCTGGGTGAGAGTCTGAGTCAGAACTCTTCCGGATTGAAACTTCAAAAGTCACCTGTTAAATGCATGTTTCAGATCCATAAACGTCCTTCCATGAGCCATGAATCTGCTCTGTCATCTGTT